GTTTTTGTTCTGTGGGAGGAAACCGGAGTACCCGGAGAAAACCCACGCCGCACAGACGGAACATGCAAACTCCACCCAGAAAGGCCGGGATTTGAACCTGGGCAACCTTCTCGCTGAGAGGCAGCAGCTCTACCAACTGCACTACAGTGCGGCCACCAACAAAAACTAACCAAACCTAATTTCCAGTCATAATTCTAACCTAGTTTCTGTCATCCTTCATCAGACACATTTCTAATGCCTTTGGCTCTGTTTACACTGCTCTGGTGTTTCAAGTTATTTTTTCACTTTTCTTGGAAAGTGCGACAAAATGAAGATTCAACGCAATCTGTTGGCTTCATTAGAAAGATAAGGTTACTAATTGACTTTTTTATGTATGTGATTGTTTCTGTTCAGTGCCCTGAGATGATTTCTGTTGTGACTTGACGCTATTTAAATAAACTGAGCTGAATTGAACTGAATTGAATACACTGTAATACTCATGCCGCAACACTAGGTGGCGAGATCATTCCCAGTATCAGCACATCAAAACACAGAGGAAGATTCTGTTTGTCTAAATATATTCATATCTGTAAATTGTCTTTTTTATATTTGACACAGATTAGTTTAATCTCAATTATAGTATTTCCATTTTATATTATAATAAAAGTTTAAGTGAAAGATTTGGCTGAAGCGAATCAGACACAACCAGTGAACTTTGCTTCAGTGTTGAGTTTTTGTTCCACAAAGTGTTAAAACAGAGTAAAAAATAATAAAATAAATCAATGCCTTAGAAATTTTTCTTTATTTACCGGTAATTATGTTTATTTTGTATTTATGCTGCCATCTTGACAAGGACTTTTTAAAAGCAGCATTAATTTAGCTCACTGGGACTTCCTGGTAAAAAAAAAAAAAAATAAAGGCTGAATAAATTAACTTCCTCAGGCTCGAGCTCTGCTGAAGCATTCAGTGTCTGAAGGCCCAACGATACGTACTGTCGCTGTTTAGAGCTGATCAAAGGTATGAACTTCAGCAGAATGGCAGTGACAAATGAAAACTTTCCTGATTGCTGCACATTTTACCCCAAAGGTCTTCACAGAGGTGGTTCTGCACCGGAGACAATGGAGAATTCTGATCAGAATCATTTTGACAGTTAAGTCTCACGAGATCTTGTTGCAGCCTTAATAGTGAGTATAAATTGATATAATTAATTATTGTTACAGTTTAATAGCATTAAAAGAAAACAAGACTTTGCAGTGGTTTCGGTCTCGTCTTGGACTAGACCACCTTTGGTCTCGGTCTTGGACATTGAGGACCTGGGATTTTATTTCAAGACCACAACTGTGGAAACATCACTAAACTGCCAGAATATTGTCCAGCTTATTTGTTAACATCTTTGTTTTTATTGGATAAAACACGTACTGATTCAAATACAAGCGATAACGCGACTCATTGCTAAATACATGTTTTGTTACCGCCGTCACGCCCACCCCCTTTCACTCGCACGCGTCACTCCCAGTGACGCCAGTTGGGCGGTTTTCATTCTGATTTTGCTGGGAACTCTGGGAAGATTTTTGTTGGATTGTTGCGTTTTGCCACATATTGTTAAATTACTTGGGCTTGTATGTGTTCATGTTCATACAGTAAATATACTGTGACAATATATTGATTGAGCAAATTTTTGTGTGTCAGGTTTTAACAGATTTTTGGGCTGGAAAACCTCCACTCTATCTGGCAACACTGGTCACTCCAAGAAAGTGAGAAGTGATTGTCTGGGCACGGGAGAAGATGTTTCCATATCATCAGTTATAAAATTTGCCTATTTAAATCACAAAGAATATACTTGTAACTAATATCCATGTATGTAACTTTTTTAGGAGTATATCTACTCCTTTACTGAAACCACTGTGCAACTTGCCTCGGGCTTGAGTTTGGACTTGTGTTTTGCCACTGCAGATTTTAATGCATTTGATGAAACCGCTTCCAATTCAACAGTTAATTTTATTGTTGAATCACATGAAGTTAGGCCACTGAATGTTTTATTTCTTTGTTATGTAGCTTTGAAAATGTATAAAAGCTGATGTATCCATTCAAAAGCAAACTTAAAGTTGCAATATGTAACTTTTATAAAATGATTTTATAATTAAAAAAAATATTTTATTTATTTTATTTGAAGTCTTGGTCTCGACTTGGTCTTGTCTCGGTACACTCTGGTCTTGGGTGAAGTGGTCTTGAACACAACACTAGAGTAAACATCAATTCACTTGTTAAATAAAATGGAAAGATGATCAAGAAGATACAGAAAATAAAAACAAAATATAATTAACACTGCACAAATTTGCAAATACATCTTAAAGAAGTCCGTTCAAACATTTTCTTCTGCGTTTCCAGCTGATGAATTCATTAATTTTCGTTTAAATCCCTCATGTCAATGAGTTCACGTTAGTGCAAAGAACGTGGGACCAGAGAGGGGGAAGGTGATGAAGCTGAACACAAATCTGTTACATCGTCCCAGTAGTCCTTGTTGCATGTTGCTTCTAGAGATTAGAGAGAAACAAGTGTTTGCCTTTTGCTGAGCATTGAGTGTGAAAACAAAAGAATTAATGAGCGCTATGAAAGATTAAGACCCTTTGTCCGGGGTGATGTCCCCACATTTATCTTACTTTAATCTTCTTTTGCCACTTTGAGTTTCTATCAGGACACTTCAGTACAATCACACCAACCTGTGAAGGGTATATGCAATGTGAACAGATGTAAGTCACAAAATATACAGTCACACAAGATATAGAAGCAAAGACAATGTTGAAAACTTTTCTTTGGAAGTTTCACACTTTGAAAAATCTTGAGTAAAAAGTCTCTAATCAGGGATGACTTGCTGATCATTACGTTTATAGCAGAGCTGAGGTTTGAACTGTTAACCAGGAACTGAAAGGTTATTTATTAGAAGAAATATATATATATATATATATATATATATATACATATTAGTGAACAGGGAGATTAATAAGTGACATGGTAGAAATAGTCCAATAAATGTAAGTTTTTAATAGAATATTTTAAAGTATCTGGCAGTTGGTGAAGAGAAATGTCAACAGTTATCAAAAAAAAATTCCAGAACTTTTTCACATCATAACGTGCAACGCCACTTCTGAAAAAAAAGTTAGGACTCTGTGTAAAATATAAATACAAACATAAATAAAATATATTTCATTCACAATGGAACATAGTTCTTGTTCTTTTGGCTTCTCCCTTCTTCAGGTGTTGCCACAGCACTCATGATGAATGAACAGATGCCCTTCCTGATGCAACCTGGACTCAGACCTGTAGACTCAGGTTTACACCGCGACACTGACCGCCAAGCTACCGTGACACCTACGCAGTGGAACACAATAAACTTATCAAATGTTCAATCTAAGAAATAATCCATTTTGGAGGAAAAATAAGGTAATTTTGGATTTGATGGCAACAACACATCCCAAGAAAGGCTCGTTGACCCTGCGTGAAGCGTCCCCTCTTCTAAGAAAAGTCCGTAAACATCTAGGACCTGAGGAGACCAGCTGCTTGAGATCTTGGAGGGAACTGTTCCATTATTGTCTGATGTAGGATCCTAGACATTCAAGAGTCCTTGGTCTTCTTTGTTGGATATTATTTTGTTGTATGATGTCAAATATTTTCATTTGGTCCATTACTATTTTTTTAAAGTGCCTTTCCAGATGTGTAAGCTGTCAGTGCCAATGGGCATTAATGCACCCTCATACCATCAGAGAGGTGGGTTTTTGAACCATGTGCTGATACCAGGCTGGATCAGAACTCCCGTCTTTACTTTATAGAACATGGAATCTTAAGTTTCCAAAAATAATTTCAAATTGTGATTCATCTGCTCACAGAACAGTTTTACACTTTGTCTCCATTTTATATCAAATTTGTCCAATTTGCCTTTTTTTGGCTGGTTTTCACATACGGCTTCTTCTATATGATCGAGCTTATGTTTGTACAAAGAATGATTTGTCAAAGTCTTCCTGAGCCCAAGCAGTGGAGTCCAGAACCCAATCAGACCTGTTTTTATTATAATACCATCTGACGGCCTGAAGATCAGAGCCATCCAATACTGAGTTTTACTTTAGTCTTTACTTCTGAGAGATCCATCCTTTCCAAAATGTTCTCGTTAAACCGAGTCCAGTTAACCTAATTAATTTAAAAATGTTCCTCCAGCTGATATCCTCCTTGTATTCCAGCCTTTTGTTGCCCCTGTTCCAACTTTCCATGAGACGTGCTGCTGCTCTCAAATTTAAAATGACTTTATTTATTTTTATAAAAAATTTACTTTTTTTTTTGTTGTTTAAACAGTTGATATATATTTACTGTGTTTTATTGTGGTTGTACCTTATAACTCATTCAATATCATGAAACTTATATGAAAGTGAACAATTAAATGGGCAGTAATGGTAAATCCTACAACTAATCGCAAAAAGACTTAGTTTTTTTAAACCACATTACAAAATTTAAATTCATATATAATACAAAACCTATCATTATTTTACACACCATAATAAACAAAAGGGGGGAGTGATTTATGTGAAACGGAAAAACTGAAAATGTTTTCACAATTCTTAAAGATATAAGAGAGGATGTGAGGAATAATGTGATTCGTGTCGCATAGAATGGAGCCAGGAGAGCACGAGCGGCTTTTCTGACGACACGCGAAGCTCAAGTGGTGGCAGATAAATGAGGTGGAGTGGATGAAAAGTGCATTCAAGTGTTTTTACATCATTAACTTTAAAGGTAGCTTCAGCATCCTCTTTGTAAGATGTTAGACAGGAAACTTACTTTAAAGGAACAAGAAAACAAAAAAACATAATCCCAGCTCATATTAACTGAGACGTAAAAACCTGTTTACAAAATATCTGAAACCAACGTAAGCTCGTGAGGCTTTACACTTCTGTGATGAACAGATCTGATCATGTCAAGATTCTTATCCGTTGCTTTTCTTCTTGGTTGCTTTCCGGTAAAGAAGGGAAGTAGGTTTATGTGAAGTCCTTGGATACCGCCTCAATGAAGTTGGGAGCTGACATGAGGATGGTGAAGGTGCAGATGATGGAGAACAACGAGAAAGCCACCAAGCATAACCGATCCACGACAGCGGCCGCGAATTTCCACTCGCTGCAGATTTCCTCGCCCTCGTCGTGGTCCCTGAAGCGCCTTGCTATGTACTGAACTTCCTCCAGGATGTGCGAAATTTCTGGAATCTGTTCCAGCAGCAAAGTCCGCGTTTGGTCCGAGTGGATGTCAGGCTGGGAGGAGCCGTTCTGGTGGTTCCCTCCCCCGCCACACACCATCAGTCCTGAATCAGTGCTTGGTGGGAAAGCTGGGTTATCTGTGCCCATCGCGTGGTAGCCGAAGAAAAGGTTCATGTTGCCGTTTGTCGTGGTGGACTGAGTGGACTGTCCTGGAATAGTGCTCATCTGAATGCTGCTTGTACTGGTGTGGTGCGGGGGCGACTGGGAGTATTTGAAGTTCGAGGGGTTAGTCGAGCTCACGGCCATTTTGCCTTCTTCTTCTCCAGGCTTCTTCATGCGGAGGAACCAAGCACACCAGTTGAGAAGGACGACTCGGACCTGATTGAAGAAAACACAGGTGGCATAAAGAAAGATAAGAAAGTTCATTTAAATGGTCAAACACAGGAACCTGGTTGGGGCACAGCTCATAATGTGTTGAGTTAAAGAGGATTCTTTACAAAATTTATATAAGAAAAGCTAAATCCATTCATTTATCTTTTTTCTTTTTATAAATTGATACTTAATGTCAAAAACCTCGTGTCTCCCCACAGTTTTTAAGTAACGAAAAAGCTTATTTGAATTATTAAAACCATAGTGGTCAATTTTCATTGTTTAATTATGGTGGTCCTAAAGTGTAAATGAACAACATTTGAAAAAAACATAATTACATTTGAAAAGAAGAAAATCACATTTGAAAAAGGAATCTAATAAAAAAAAAAAAAAACTGAATCATGTTTGAAAAAATGGAATCACGTTTGAAAAAAACTGAATCACATTTGAAAAAACAGAATCGCATTTAAAAAAAGTTGAATTACATATAAAAAAATGGAATCATGTTTGAAATGACTGAATTACATAAAAAAACTGCATCACATTTGAAAAAACTGAATCACATTTGAAAAAACTGAATCACATTTTAAAAAAAACTGAATCACATTTGAAAAAAACTGAATTACATTTGAAAAAAATGAATCACATTTGAAAAAACGGAATCATGTTTGAAATGACTGAATTACATAAAAAAACTGAATCACATTTGAAAAAACTGAATCACATTTAAAAAAAATGAATCGTTTGAAAAAACTGAATCACATTTGAAAAAACTGAATCACATTTTTTTTTAAACTGAATCACATTTGAAAAAAATGAATCATGTTTGAAAAAACTGAATCACATTTTAAAAAACTGAATCACATTTTAAAAAACTGAATCACATTAAAACAAAAAACTAAATCGCATTTGAAAAATGCACACACAACGGAGGTACGGTTAGCAGGCTAGCCTTTAGCCTGTAGAAATGGAGAGCTATGTTTTGTTCAAGCTCTAACCCTAATCCTGCCGAGGTTTTCCAGCGTCATATCTTCTTCTTTAAGCTTAACTAAACATAGCTCTCCATTTCTACAGGCTAAATTTGTGTTCTGTGTTCGCACTGCTGTTCGGCGTATTGTTTTTTTTTTAATTGTTTTTATGTTATTAATGCTTAGTTTATATTTAGTTTACGTTTTTTTCTTAGTTCATATCTTAGATCTTATTACAGTTTTTCTTATACATTTCATTGTTGGATGTAACTGGGACCCTGTGAACATAATTTCATTCCACCACATGTACCACATGTGGTGTGAACGACAATAAAGAATCTCTGGATCTAAAGGCTAGCCTGCTAACTGTACCTCCATTGTGTGTGTACTGTATATTGTTCTGCTGTTCTCTTTTATGGTGTAAGTAAAGTTAAAAAGAATACATAAAATAAAAATAAATAAAAAACACTTGCGCTTTGGCTTAATGTAATTCAGTTTTTTAAAATGTAATTCTATTTTTTCAAATGTTGTTCATTTACACCTTAGGGCCACCGTAGTTAACCATCTATAAAACCGCAAAGAAAGCAACAGAGCTGATTCGTGCACAAAACCTAAAAATAATGAGAACTGGAGACAAAAAGTTTTATTCTAACAGTAAAATTTTAGAACGTAAAAACAGGTCAGAAGGTTTTGACATGTTGCATGTCAGGAGAGGGAGAAGGTAAATATTCTAGTTTCATTCTTATGTTTCCATGAGGTAATTTTGATAATGTTAATGTTTTTCTTTTTCTTTCAAAGTTTACTATTAAGCACTATTTTGTTTTGCATTAATTTATTCAATTTAATTTATGTTACTTCCCCCGTATTGTGTCCGATTGGCCTGTTCAGCCATGTTTCCCTCTTGTCTCAGTCACTGGCTGCTATAGCTTCATGCATTAGTACCTTACTTAAAAGTTTGCTATGTTGACCTCTTGTATGGGCCCAGAACTAAATGATTTTGTTAAATAAATTGGAAGTATTTTTTTTTAGCAAATCCTCTTTGCCTCTCATGCAGGTTTATGTTGACCCTGACCGGTTCCCATCCGTATATAGTATGTATATATTACATACAGTATATATGTGCTGTACACTCACACCTTTTGCTCCATGTCAGTAATTTAGGTTTTTGTTTTACCAATTGTTCTTGTAACATTTTATTTTTTTATTGTAAATTGTATACTCTGGATATCTTTCAGACTTTCAGTTTTATACCATTTAGTTTGAAACTGTTCAGGTTTATACGGTCGGTCTCCAGTTAATGCACTTGGGTCCTCAGTACTATCATATGACATCATCAGACAAACAGACATACAAACCAAACAATCTTGTTTCCTCACTAAATAAATAAAGTCGTGTGTGCAAATGAACATCTAAACACATGAGCATTTGGGAAACAAGTAGCTGAAAACATGAGATAGCAACCTTTTATACTTTGACCTTCGTGGCAGCTGGAATTTTAAACATGAAATATGTTTCATCTCCTCACCTGTGTGCACCTTGGTTACCTGCAGAACTTCCTTTAAATGATCTAGAGCTCACTTTAAAACACCTGAACAAGTCGTGCCTTTTCAAGCCAGAGTATCTGTCACGGTCAGCGGCCCCCGCTGCCCCCCCCATCTGCCAAGCCTCT